AGCTCGCCGTCGGTCCGCAGCCTCTTCCTTGGCTTCATCTCCGTATCAGTCTGAAGGCAGCCAGACAAAGGAGAAAGAGCACAACACCCCTGACACCGAAGCTGCAGGTGAGGATTGGGGTTGGGCTGAGCTCTCTGCCCTGCTCCCTTGGTTCAACGCTGCGGGAAGCTGCCTGCGCCCTGCCGTCCTGCAGAGATGCTGGCCGGCGAGGCGGGTGCCCAGAGAGCCTACTCACCCACCCTGCCCTCTTTCCTGCGCAGACGAGGTGGAAGTGAAAACCCAGGAAGTCAGCGTGTGCCTGGAAGACATCATGGAGAAGCTGCGGAGCGCCTTCCCCAACTCTCGAGGTACTCGAGTGAAATCCCCCTCTCTGGCCTCTTACTGCTCCCTCAGATGAGGATTTCCCCATGGAGTGCTGCCCCGATCCCAGCTTCCCTGCGACAGCTGATCCCCCACAGCGCCTACAGCCAAGAGCTACGCTGCCGTGGTGCTGCTGGGACAGGTGTGTGGCCTGGGCACAGAGAGGTTGAGGAGGAGGTTTCACACCTGCAAGGAGAGGCAATCAGAGCTGCCAAGAGTACAGACCAAGTAGATTCCCCCAGATGAGCTGCAAGGCAGCCTCCTGCCCTGCTCGGGACCCTGCACCATGTGGGGCTCCCCACTGTGAACATGGACAGACCTGCCAGCATCGAGTTTGCAGTGATCACCTTGAGCCACCTCCACACTTTGTCCCTGTCCAGACCGCTCTCCAGGGGAGGTCGAGGCCCCAGTTACCTGGTGAGATGGAAGCAATGCTGCAAGGTCTCCTAGATGCTCATGGATGGCTCTTCCCTGAAGGGAGGAGGAGTGGGGGATGCATGTGTGGACGGCGCTCCACTCACCCAGTGGGGTATGGTGTTGGTCTTTCTGCTGTCCCTCTGTGCTCCAGCCTGGGAGCAGCACTTGGTCCCTCGCCCAGGCTGCCCATCCATGTGCTGCGGGGAGACATTGCTTGGTGCCAGCACTAACGCGAGGTGGGGGAGAGCTTCCCTCTCTGCCCACACAGACCCTTGCCCACTTTCTGCCATCCCTGAGCAGGATCCTCCTGGCTCTGCAGCAGCCCCGTTCTAACCAGGTGGCTCTGGGTCCTATTTTCCTGACTTCTCCATTTGTCTTTCAGGTATGACCTCCCTTATCTAACACCTCCTGTGAGCCAGAGGCTTTTTCTAACCAGCTACCCAGCTGCTTTCCTCCCCTTCCTCTCCCTGCCATGCTCCCTGTGCTGCAGCAGACCTCGCACAGACTCCGTCCGAGCCGGTTGCGCAGGATGCTTGCCAGCTCCAGAAGATCTCAGGGGAACATAGGTCATGCAGGAGTGGTACCGTGGGCTCCCCAGGAGACTGGTTCAATCACTCAGCCACAGTGTCCAAGCCTGGGTGGAAAGGTTCAGAAGAAAGAACGGAAGCCTTGAAAGCTGCCTGTCTCCCCCTGTGCTTGTGGGCTGCTACCTTTGACCGCAGCCCTTGGGGGATGCAGAGCTCAGCATCCTGCTACTCTTCAATTGTGCCCAGGGGCCTCCAGGTTTATGGGCACCAAAACACTCCTGGAGCCACCCAGTTTTTAAAAGAACTCTTTCTAACAGCATCCAGCTGCCAGCCTTACGGATTGAACTCTCTCTTGCCACCCAGGGCTCCACAGCCAGGCAGGCATATACTGTCTGGTGGGGAGAGTCTGCAAGGTTTATGGGGTAGGGTTGAGTCCATGTTAGAGCTTCAGCCCAGCTAGTAGCCTTATCTTGAGAAGGTCTTTATAACAGAGCCTTATCATTTAATTTGCATATATTTCTATATATTATATATATTCTGTACTTAAATACTCTCATGGACTCACTCCATTAAATTCTAATACTGTAAGTGCAGCTGCCCTTCACTTTCAGTCCAGCCCAACATCTGCTCCCACAGGGACCAGCACCTTCCTCATTGCTGGTGCTGCCTTGGAGCGGAGCAGAGCTGCTGTGGGGGCAGCTCAGCAGAGGGCCGGACCAACAGCAGGTACTGCATCCTGGCTGGTTTCCTGGGGAGCTGTGCCTTTGCCGTGGCATGGAGAGCCTGTCCTGCCTGGACTCGGCTCCATCCCTGGGGAGCCTCGGCTCCTGCAGCTGCCCATCCCCCGTGGCGCTGTGGGAAGGGGTTTCTCCAGCCGTAGCTCCAGCCCTGGGGCCACCAGGATGTTGAGCTGTGATGCAGGAGCATAGCGGTGTGGACAGGCAGCAGAACAGGCAGGGCACCTCCTTGCCGCCCCCAAGGAGCAGCTGCCCTGCTGCTGTCCCCCAATTTGAGCTGGGCTGAGGGGCTTGAGGCTCTCGTTGGAAGCAGGCGAGTCCCGCCAGGCAGCGGAGGAGACTGTTCTACAAGCTGGCAGGGTAGCTCAGTGATGGTGGCTCCTGGTTCCAAAGGCTCTCTCAGGCTGGCTGTCTCATGCTGTGTTATGTTGAGAAAGAGGTGGAGTCAGGTGCTGTGGGGTGCCCCAGAGCAGAGGCTGAGATGGTGCTGGTGCTCTGGGGCCACAGGCTGAGGGATGAGATGCCTGAGCCCTCGGGGCAGGGCAGGGCTGCATGCCAGTGTGAAGCATCCTGCCCAAAACAGGGCTTGCTGTGAGGACAGGGACAGGGCTGTTGTCACTGGCTGGGACAGGATGCAGTAGTGAGCTGTTCAGGGAGGTTCGGACCAAGGCAACATGTGGGGGCACAGGGCTGTGTGGGCGGTTGCCTTCGACATGCTGGCAGAGGTGCGAAGCAGTGCCCACACCGGGGATTAGGCGGTATGAGCCTTATGGCCAGGTGTTTGGGGTCTTGTGCTGCAGTGTCCACTAGCAGTGTGCGGGTTGCTGTCCTTGCCATCCCCTCTCACACCCGGGCGAGTGGCAGGAGGGCAGTAGTGGTGGCATTGGTGTTAGGCTGGCTGTAAGCTTGCTGTGTGTCAGGCTGCTTGTTTGACTGTGGTGAGGGACCACATGCCAGCCTGCGAGCCCCGGCTGGACCTCCCTGTTATCCCAGTGGCAGGATGGGGGGAGCATGGGGAGGAGTGAGGTTTTGGCTTGAGGATGAGGTCAGGAGTACCCAGGCTTGGGGGAGCTGGAGGAAGGAAAAGGCAGGATGAGGGCAGACCTGCTGGCCCCGGTGCCAGGTGTGGGGAGCAGTGGTGGCCGGGCTGGGTGCTTGGGCTGTCGGGTACAGGGTGAGCGTGGGCTGTGTTTGGGAGATGGGATGCGGCAGGGAGAGGAGCAGGCTGGCTAATGCTCTGGTAACCATGTACTGTGGCGCTGCTGTACTTGCTGCTTTGCGCCATCTCTGCTCTGGAAAGAGAATAAATTTGTATTTATACTGAGACCCGGATCAGTGCTCTGGCCTCTTCTGTCTGTGCACCTCAGCTAAGTCAAGGCAGCTCCTGGCCCTCTGCTATCCTGGCACCGCTCCTGTAGGGCTGCTGTGACATGGATGTCCCTGTGCCCTCTGTCACCCTGGCTGTCCACACCATTTGAGGCAGAGCAGAAGCTGTGAGCAGAGCCCTGGGCTCCCCAGACACAGGTGCATCCCCCGACCGCCATCTTCCTTCGTCTTCTTCCAGCAAGGTCTGCTCAGAGCCACATAGCAGCCTGAGGGCTGGGACAGGGGCTGTGTGGGGACAGTCCCTCTTCCTTGCCTGGGAACTTCTGCTGTAGGAAACCCTTCAGCCCCAGGAAGGATGTAGGCAGCAGTGGGATGCTGGGCAGGCAGTCGTCTCCCTCCATGCTTTTTCCCTGGAGCCCCATTAGGTCTCCAGTGCCCAGAGGTGTCCGTGTGCCTCTGCCCCAAGTGCTGCCCATGTTCCCCGTGTCTCCATGGCACAGTGAGGGGCTCAGTTGAGGACTAGCCTAGGGCAAGGCTGGGGCGTCTCAGGCCCTCCCTGCCATACAGGGTGCAGCCCAGCCCTGGCTGACAATGAAGCCTGCCCAGAACTGATAGCTGTAGGGCTGGACCTGCTCTCAGTCCAACCTGGAGGGGCTGGCACTGCTGGGCAAAGGCCTGACATGGTAGTACTGCAGGGAAGTATGGGGACAGCTTTCACACATAAGGGATTCAGGAGCTTAAATAGGGGTGAAATGCAGCCTCTTTAACTCCCCCTCTCAAGAGTAGAGCAAAATGCCCATCCCTGCGCTGCAGGCTCCAGGGCAAGGCAGGAGGTGCAGATTGTGATCAGGGAAGCCGGTCACGTCCAGGAACAAATCCAGCACATGGTGCCAGGGAAAAGCTTTTATTTCTCAGCCAGCAAAGCTCAGCAGGGCCCAGCTGAAAGGCGCTGGAGCCGATGAGTCGGGGCAGTGAGGCAGCAGGCGCTGCTGCACAGCAGGGCTGGTGGTCCCAGTGGCGGCAGGGTGAGGACAGCATTGTTCCCATGTCACTGCAGGGCCAGTCCCCAGCCCTGGACCTCCCTCTCAGCATACAGCAGCCCCACTGTCTGTGCTGTGCCTCCTTGTCAGTGATCTGGCAGCCCTTCCGCCATCCAGGGGTAACCGGCCCTGCTCAGGGCTGGCCATGCCCCAGGATCGCGGCCCCGAGCTCTCTGCTCTCGCTGCACTGCCCTGGGGGTGCATCACCCCCTTCCCGGGCTGCTATGGGGCAGGGGGGTACTTCTGCCCCTCTGCCCAGCTCCTCGTCTGCCCCCGAGTGCCCAGCCTGGAGCACGGCCCCAGGGGTGAAGCTGTCTGGGGGGATGTTGCCTTCTCCAGCATTTCCTTGGCCGCTGCCTGCTCGCTGCTCCCTGCAGCTCCCCTCTTCCAGCGCCTCTCTGGGTGTTTTATCCTCCAGGTCCAGGGGCCCCTCGGCTGGCCCCAGCCCCTTGCTGGGGGGCCCTGGCTCTGGGGCTCTGCCTGGCTCAGCCAAGGCCACACTCCCTGTGGCAGCTCCCTCTGCCCCACTGGCTCCCTGCTCCAGCCCCTGCCTGAGCCCTGCTGCCCCACATTGCCCTAGAGCCAGCTTTTCCATCCCTGCTGCTGAGCTCTCTTCCTTTTCGTCCTCCTCTACCTTTTCCTCCTCCTCCTTCTCCCCCTCTTCTTCCTCCTTCTCCACCTCCTTCCCCTCCTCTTCTTCTTCCTCCTCCCCCTCCTCTTCTTTCTCATCTTCCTCCTCTGCCCCCCTCTCTGCTCTCCAGCTCTCTGGCCCACAGATGCCTAGGTTTGCTTCTTCCCCCAGTCCCATCCCATCCCTTGCTTCCACCTCCACCCCTGCAGGCTGCCCCTGGGCTGCTTCTCCTCTGGGCACTGCTCCTTCACACCCAGCCCCAGGGGTCCCTTGTTCTGCTTGGTCAGCCCCTGGTTGTTCTGCTTCTTTGGTCCCTGCACCCTGCTCCCCCTGCCCAGGGGTCTCCAGGACCCCAGCCT